CAGCCCGGGCCCCCTGCATCCCCTCCAGGCCCCTCTGCAGGCGCCCAGCACTCACCATCCCCCTGAAGAAGGTGAACGCAGCAGTGAGGAGCAGGACCAGGACCAGCCCCACGTCCTGGGGCCGCTGGTACAGGGGCTTGCGTTGCTCCTCTGCAACCTGGGAGAGGAAAACGCCGTATTTTCAGCTCCGCACCCTGTGGTCCAGCCCTGGGAGGGGGATAAGGCTGGTGGCTCCCAGTGCAGCTCCCCGCAGAGCTCCTGCCCTGGCTCCGGCTCCCCGCTCACCTTCTCGGGACTGAGGCACGGCAGGGCCTTGGGCTGCTGGAAGAGCCTCACCCCAGCCCAGATGGGGATGAGGACGTAGGGCAGGTTGAGCAGGAAGGCAGGGCTGAGGTCGGAGCTGTATTTCCCTGGGGAAGGAGAGCACGTGGGAGGCACGGCAGCGAGCTCGGCGCCCAGTATTGATACCTGCCGCTTGCCCCAGGTCAGCACCTTCCTCCTCTGCCAGGGAGCAAACCCGCCGGACAGACAGGGGGATGGAGGCAGCCTGGAGGGACCAGCAAGGGCTGGAGGTGGAGCTGAGCCCCCCTCCGCACCCCCATACCTATCAGGTTCCCGAGCAGGAAGACAACGATGCTCATCATCAGAGAGCCCAGCCAGAAGAGACCCAGGTTCCTGTAGCTCTTTCTGCAGAGACAGCGGGGATCAGACACCCCTGCCAGGCTCCGAGCTCCCCTCCTCACAAAATCTGGGACCCTCCCACCCCCGCGAGCCCCTCCAAGCTCTCCTCCCCACCACCGTCCCCGTTCACCTCTGGCCGATGGCCGCGATCATGGCGAGGTAGAGCCCGTAGTGGATGATGCCGTCCCAGTAACAGATCATGATGCCGTGCGCCGTGCGCAGGTAGGGCTCACCCTGCCCGTTTGGAAGAGGGGGGATCATATGGGGTGGGGGCAGGCACCTTCCTCCCCAGGCTACCTCTCTGACGTAGACCTCCATGAAGCCCGCGATGTAGCCATCCTCCTCCAGCGAGATGATCAAGTCGACGACGGAGGTGAAGGAGAACACCACAAACACTGCGGGAGAGCGAGCCGGCTCCGAGCGGGTCCCACCGCTCCCCCCGAATCCCAGATCTCCGCTCCCTGCCCCGATCGGTCCCCACACCCTGGCAGGGGACTCACCACAGAAAAGGGGGTCCTGGAAGTGGCTCCCTCCGCTCACGAAGAAGATGATGGAGATGAGGCCGATGAGCACCAGCACCCCCGTCAGCATCAGCGCCAGCGGGCTGCTGCAGAACAGGGGGACGGGTTCAAGCACCGGGGGCACAGTGGGGGGGTGGTGAAGCCCCTTTTCCCCCGGTCCAGGTGAAACACCCTTTGCCCCCGCTGGTTTTGACACTGAAGCCGGGGGAACGTCAGGATCAGACCCCGCACCCCCAGCACAGGTGGGGTCCCGCAGCGGCGCAGGGTGCTGCGAGACCGGGGAAATTGGTTATAAAGCAAATCAGTAACGAGGAGACAGATACTGAAAATGCGTCCTAAAAGAGTGAAGAAATTTTAGGGAATTTTATCCCCAGCTTGCTGTATCCCCTCCAAGAAGCTCTTGTGTCCATGGGAATAGCCACAGCTCTGGGCTAGCCAGTATTTCTGCTAGGAAACACGGAAAACATGACGGTATTTGTCACTCAAGCCTTTGACCTTGTTACCAGCGAAAAAGAAAAGGTAATGCCGTGGCTGTCTGCACAGACCCCGCTGTTAGCAGCTTATCCTGGAGAAACACCCAATTACCAGCCCCAGCGCCCCTCGGACGTGCGGAGCGGGGCCCCAAGTCAAGCCGTCCCCCGCCCCGGGTCCCCCGGCTGAGAACAGCTCAGGTCTCATTTATAGGAGGCTGCGACAACACCCGGCTCCTGTTTGCCTTGTGCAGGCAGAATTGCTCTTCCAGGGATGGGGATGGGGACAGGGACGGGGAGCGCAGGACCCCATGCCCAGGGACAGGACGGGCACCCCGGCAGCGCGGAGCGAGGCTGAGCTTGTCCTCACCGCCTGCCCTGAGCACCCAAAGCCAACACAGATACTCTTGAAAAAAAAAAACCAAACCTCAAAACAATCAAATAATTGAAGCGTCACCGCCTAAGTGTATTATTACTAGTATATAATTAATTACTACACAACTAATTACTCCCCCAGAATGATTAATTCAGAATTAAACCACGATGCTGCGGTGGAGTAGCACAACGCTGGGCTCCTCCCGTCACCGCGAGATGTGACGCTGTGCGTGACGGGGCTCGAGACACGCTGACATGGGCCGGCGCCACGGCCACCCCCCCCACGTAACCAGCACCCTGGGGTGCTGCGCCCCGGGCACCCAGCTCACCCTGCCAGGCTGAGGGGCTTTGAGGCCACCAGCGCTTGTCCTGCAGCAGGGACTAATTAAGAAACAAGGGGGGATGTGCCCCCCCCTCCACAGCCCCCTGCAACGTCGAGAATGATGGTGTTAGGGGCTTCGGTTTGGGGGGCAGGCTGGGGGGGGCAGCGCTCCCCACGGCTGCAGATGGGCTTCACCCAGAGCTGCAGCGTACAGAAGAGCTGCGGGTTTCACAGCGATGGATCCCG